GAAGGTATTAGGAGGTAAAAGGGCTTTGCAGAGATGCCCTCTGGGCAATGTTTGTTGTCAATCAATCAAGAAGCACTCATTAAGTATTTATTATGTGCCAAGTATTGTGCTAGGCACTAGAGATATACAGAAAAAAAAATGCCACCCCTGCCTTCAGGGTGCTCACAGTCTAAGGGGAGGAGACAACGCACAAGATATATACAGTATGATCTTGGTGGAATCCCCACTTGCAATGGGGAGGCCAAGGAAAGATCTCTTGCAGAAGGTGGGGCTTGGGTCTACTAAGTGCAAGGCACTGAAAATAGCCAGCATTTATGCAAGGGCAGCTAGGTGCCACAGTGGATAGAGTGCTGCATTTGGAAACAGGAAGATTCATCTTCACGAGTTCAAGTCCAGCCTCAGACACTTACAAGCTGTATCACTCAGGCAAGTCACTTAACCTTGTTTGCCTCAGTTTCTTCATCTGTCAAAATGAGCCACAGAAGGAAATGGCAAACCACTCCAATATCTTTGCCAAGAAAACCCCAAATGGGACCACAAAGAGTCAGACACAACCGAAATGGCTCAAGAACAGTTATTCGATAACAATAGCATTAATTTAGCACTTCAAGGTTTTCAAAGTACTTTTTATGTGATCTCGTTTGATGCTCACAACAGTACTGGGAGGTGTATACTAGCATCATCCACATTTTATAGGTGAGGAAACTGAGGCTGGGATAAGGTAAGTGACTCGTCCAGAGTCACATAGCTAATGCCTGAGGCTGGATTTGAACTCAGATCCTCCTGGCTCCAAGTCCGGCAGCATGCACCATGTGGCTGCCTAAGTGACACTTTGCAATTTATAAGGCATGCTCCTCTTTTACTACAGTATCTAATTGGATCCTCAAAAGAACCCTATGAGGTAGGTACTACAGATGTTATAGACCTACTTATTACAGACAAAGAAACTGAAGCTTAGAAAAATTGAGTGATTTGCCCAGTCACATAGTTGGCAGGGTTTGAATCCAGGTCCCTCCTGATTCCTGGTTCTGCACTCTCTGCTCTAGAGCAGGAAGGTGTTACTTCCTCATGCCATGTTTGTCAAAAGGTCATGAAGCATGTGTGTAGAGCTGGCCTGTCTGCCTCCAGCCAGAACTGAAGAACTCTGCTTCAGTGATGAAGCAATCCCCACCATTGGCCAATGAATGGGAAAAACTGCTGACTTAGTGGACTTTAAAAGGGAGTGACCCAGGCCCACACATTCTCCTCTTCCTAGCTGTCAGTCGTATCAGGACTGTGCTAGCCTCCCCAGTAAGGAGTGGGGAAGGATTGCTCTTCCACCCAATGGTAAGGAGAAGGACAGAGGAGCCACTAACATACTTGGGAGAGCCAAAGACCAGGCCTCAGGGGCCTAGCTGCCTCTTCTGCTCTGTGTGCCTCCTCTAAACATAGGCGCTAAAATGTGCATCTCCACGTGGATGTGTCCAGGCTGGGAAACAGCCTTTTGAGTTCAAGAAACTAGAGCTCTTTGGTCAGATTTATTTGGCCGGTGACAAGAATTTCTGAATTGTAGATGACCACTAACAAGAGGATGAGTGTAAATCCTGGCCTGACTTGTAAGAAGACATGGACCTGGAGGGAATTGTTTGGACAGTGCAGAGCCGAGGTGAAATGGAAATTGTCTCTTCAGCAAAACCAAGAAATGATTTATGTTTTGAGGGTTTTATATCACCATCTTCCAGGGGAATATAACAATACTTACTAGTTATTATGTCTTCTTTGGAGTCTTTTTGTCACTATTTACCTATGGCCTTTATGTGTGTTAAGCATTTTTTGTGTGTATAGAGAAAATCAATAATATTTATTAAGCACCTCCTACATGCCAGGTACTGTGCTAAGCTGGAAAATAAATATTGTCCCACACCTCATTCATACTGTTCATTGAGTATCTGTTTTTCCCCCAAGCCCTTTATAGAGTCCCTAGACATGAGCCACCCCTAATCTATAAATAGTTTATTTCCCCCTCACCCAGCTTGGAGGTGTAATGGAGAAAAAGAGATCACCCCCTTCCATTACATTCCTTACTGCCTCTTCCAGAACTGAACCCTATGACTGTATGTGGGTCTAATGCCAAGGGGCCCCTTAGTAGAGAGGAAGAAAGCACAATATTACAGCCCATGGGCCCAGCAACAACAGTGCTTATAATTGTTGGGCTTGGGTTCTCTATCACCCAAATATTCCACAGCTTTTTTTTTCCTTTCTGAGTCTGCTATTAGTATGTTGATTAATAATAATGTTAATAAACATAATATAGGGAGAAGAACGTTGGATGTGAGGTCAATGAATCTATGTTGAAATAACAGCTGTGTCTCAGTCAATATACTTTGAGGTTTCACAACTGAGCCAAGGGACATGCCACCATATTCATTTGTTAACTAGTTATATTGGCTATTTATTAAGAATCCATGCAAGATATCTTTCCCTCAAAGCTACCCCTCAGGTTCCTGGACTTCCAATCCTGGGATACGCAGCTGAGAATAGTAGAACCTTAACCAATGGGGACAGGTGTGGTCATGCTCAGGCTGTTGGTCCTGGCTGAGAAAGGCTAAGGATGGATGCCGGTGTAAGCTTTTTATAAAATTAGCAGTATGACTCGATGAAAACACATTGATGGGTTCAGGGCACTGAGAAATAACCCAGAAGGGATTAAGCTTTGTAGAGCAGGTAAACATTGCTGTTGTTCAGTCATGTCCAACTCTTCATGACCCCATTTTCTTGGCAGAAATACTGGAGGGATTTGCCATTTTCTTCTCCAGCTCATTTTACAGATAAGGAAACTGAGGCAAACAGGGTTAAATGACTTGCCCAGGGTCACGCAGCTAGTAAGTGCCTGAGGCTGGATTTGAATTCTTGAAGATTAATCTTTCTGATTCCAAACCCAGTGTTCTACCCACTGTGCCACCTAGATGCCTGTGATGTACTTATCATGTCTTGCTCATAACCCATTCTCCACATTCTCTTAAAACAGGATCTCTGAACTCATATGGATCTGAGTTCAATCTTATTGATTGCCGCATCTTGCCGCAGGGACCTCTATAGTAACTCCTAACTAGAGTGCTAGCCCAAGATTGAAATTGCACCCCCACCACCACCACCACCAGGGGAAGAAGAATTCAGCATCTCTGGAAAGTTGACCCTGCTCTTCCAGGCCTTCACAGTCTGGCTGCTCATAGTTCCAAGTCTGTTCTTCCACATCATTGCTCCTTGGTTCCAGGCTCTCTTCTGGCCACTGGGGCTGAGATTTCCCGTCACGTTGGCTTCCCTTTCTCCCTCAGTCACCCTCCTTCACTCAGCTATTGATGATTCGCAGACCACGAGGCATTATTCTTTCTCTTTGGCCCATTTGTTGCTTGGTATCATCTAGTCTCTCCCTAACGATGTCACTGCTGTCTACTTCACACTGTAGTAACTACCAACTCCATCTTTACTCTCCTTAAGGAAGTATGTAGCTCCTTTCATATAAGACATACCTCTGGGCCAGTTACGACGCCCTAGCTCTGCTTGTGCCCCAAAGCCCTCCCACCCCAATGACTCCAAGTTCATCTCAATGAACAGTTTCTAGCCCTCACTCCTAGCTGAGTCCAGGCAAATGAAATGCGTCTACCTCTTCTTTCCTGAAGGAGTAGGCACCGTGCTCCCTACCCAGCTTGCACCTGCCTGAGTCTTTTTTTTTCCCTAGGCTAAGGAAAAAATACTCACACCCCCTTTCATTTAGCTATCTGATTCTCAACACCAACACCCTACTATCCCACCCCCATAACTGCTGTCAGGCCAATGCAAATTATTCTGAGGCTCAAGAAAGTTGCTATAACCGGAGAGAAAATTGTAAATCTGGCAGCTGTGTAAGTTATATGCATATGTCTCATCCCCTATTGGGCTACAAGGGGTGGGCCACATGGCCACATGTGGCCTCGAGACCTCAGGTTCCCCACCCCTGCACAAGCTCTCAAAAGGCAGAGACTCCAAATTCTGACTAAATTCATTTTTACCACCTTGACTTTTAATAGTTAACAGCTAACATTCATATGTCACTATGTGCCAGGCACTGTGCTAAGCATATTACAACTATATGATCCTGCAGCAACCCTGGAAGTTGGTTGCTATGATTATCCCTATCTTACAGGTAGGGAGGCAAACAAAGGTTAAGTGACTTGCCCAGGGTCACACAGCTGGTAAGTGTCTGAGGCCTCATTTCAACTCAGGTCTTCTTGACTCCAGGCCCAGAATTCTATTCACTGAGCCTCTTAGGTGACTTACATTAACTCACTTTCCTCTATTTGACCCAGGTGATATACGTCAAATAGAGGAAAGATCCCAGACTAGAAGTTAGGAGATGTGAGTCCTGGTCCTGATTCTGTTACTAACCAAATGTGTGGACTTAAGCAAGACTCTTAATAGTCATCGGGGCCTTAGTTTCCTCTTGTGTAGAATTAGGCAGTGGTGCTATCATGGGTACCAGAACCTCTAGACTGGATGTTTCCTAAGGTTCCTTCTAGCTGGAAAATTCTAAGATCTTAGTCCCCTTTAGCCCTCCCTAGGTTCAAGTGGTTGCCTCTTATGGAGCTAACAAAGTTATTTCCCTCCTGGAACCATCTCTTAGGAATTTGTGCAACAGGGATAAGTACCAAAACTGCCCCTGGGGAAAGCTACAAAAACCCACCCAGAGTCATTGAGACACTAGCACAAGATTGCTGATCAGATGACCCTAGCTTGGGGAAGAGAGGCTGGGAGGGGGAGAGCTTGCCATTGTAGTCTAGAGCTAGCATGGACTGGCCAGGGAGAGGAGATTATTAAAATTTCAGTGTGAACATTGGCACCTCCGAAATCACTGGGTAAATGCTACAAACTGGGACTTGATTTATTCTTTTGTTTATTGTCTAGACTTAAGAAAGTGATGGAGAAAACATTAATAATGCAGATTAAATTTAAAAGTGTGCCATGTTTACATTTTAATTTTCCAGTTAAACATTCACCAGGAAAGTCCTGAATTTCCCCCCAGCCTGCTATCAGGTAATTTTCTATGTTAACTAAATATTCTTGTTAACTAGGTGCTAAGCTCTTCTGCTTTCTTGCTGCTAAAGAGTTGCCAGCACACTCTTAAATTGGCATCCTGGTGCAGAGCCCAAACCTCTCAGCCCTAGTTACATCTCTGATTTCCCCTGTAGCAGGAGTATACTATACTATTCCTTTTCCTTCTGCAATTCGTTCCATTACTATCATTTGTAGCTACTTTTCTTTCTTCTTTCTACTTTGTGTTCATTCTGCTCTCCTTTGCACTCCATCTTCTTCATTTAACCCCTTTTCTGCTTGAGGGCCCCACCTTCAATTTTGCCTAATTCTTCCGCCCCTCAAGTGGTCTTCCTATTTATTTAGCAAATGTTACCACTTCAATTTCATTTCCCCTTTCACTCTGGGACCCGGAGGCTGACCCAGCTATGCCTTGTCTCCAATTTGTTATGACTTGATTTGGGGCAAATTATATATGTCCTTATTTGAAAGAGAATAGACATTTCACTTGCCCCCCTTTTTTTCTTTTTATAGAAGCCACCACCGGATCCCAAGTTTCCACTCCTCAAATCCTATTTCTGGGACCCCAGTGCTCAGAATCTTCAGCCATCTTTCATATCAGCAAAACTCTGTTTCTGGAACTGAATGAAAAGCACCCTGACTCATGGTTAACCTTGCTCTCTCCTTTTTTTTCTTTCTTTTTTTTTAAGGCAATTGGGGTTAAGTGACTTGCTCAGGGTCACACAGCTAGTAAGCGTTAAGTGTTTGGTCTGAGACCGGATTTGAACTTGGGTCCCCCTGACTCCAGGGCCGGTGCTCTATCCATTGCGAACCTTGCTCTCTCTTTGCCATAACTCTCATATTAAGCCAGAAAGCTCAGCTATTGTTTGTTCAATTCAGGTTTGCATAGGGCTTTCCCGGGGCTTGAACCAAACCTGTCCTTGTCTGATTACCACCTATCTCTTCCTTCTGGAATAGAATGTCTCCTTCTGCTTAAGACAAAAGCATCTGCAAGCTATTTTTACCTCCTCTGACCAAGGGATGCCCCCAGCAGCTCTGACCCTTTCCCCAGGGAAAGCCTCTCTAGGCTCATTTCTCAGTCACCAAGGCACTCAGTAGTAGCTTCTTTCTTTTCTAGCAACGGTGATCTTGGTTGGCAAGTCTTACAGAGGCAGCTTAGGATAGCTGAAAGAAACCTGGGTTGGAATGTCACCTCTTAGAGTTCCTGGCCATGTGACCCTGGGCAAGTCCCTTTACCATTTCCTCATTTGGGAAATGGGGCCAATAGTTCCTATCTCAGGGTTGTTAAAGTGATCAAAGAATATAATGCATGCAAAGTATCTGGTGAACCTTAAAACACACTGTAAGTGCCCTGCTGTTGTGATATCAGACCTGTAGTTATTGTGTTATTGTATTTTGTTGCATTTTATCTTTGTTGTCCAATTTATTTTCACTTCTAATTCACAGGAGTTGCCATGAGGATTGGACAAGAATTGGTGTGTTTAGCAATTTAGCAAATATCAATCCAGAGCCTTCTGTGTTCGGAATACTGTGCTAAGATCAGGGTATGGTGGAAAGCTTGGAAACAACATTGTCTCTGATGTGTCAGAGCCTGTGATCTGGCAGAGAGAGAGAGCACCAACACAAAAATTATAATACAAATTAATACGTTAAGTCACAAAGATGGGTAGATAAGATGTGTCATGTGAGGGCTCAGGGAGTCCAAGAGGCCTAAGGATCATGACACATGAGAGGCCTTGTTGAAAGAGATAAAGTTTCATCTGGCCTTCAAAAGATTGGTAGAGGCCAGTCATCCGAACCTGTGTCTTGCCACTGGACTCTGATGTCTCTGGAGGAGAGAGTGAGGCTGGAGACTTTACATAGCTCTGCCTCACTTAAATCCAGTTCACTTGCAAGTCAAGACATCACCCTCATGATGACATTGGTCCTCGTGGAGAATGAAGGATGAACAACAAACGATTGGTAGGAACTCAGCAGATAGAGGGAACAAGGCACCATTGAAGGTAGAGGGAACAGCAGAAGCAAAAGCTCGGAGATGGGAAAGTAAGCAGTGGTCTGGCTTGGCTGGAGCATGCAACATCTGGAGAAGAGAGAGGAGATAACAGCTGGAAAGGCAGGTTGGGGTCAGATCTCAGGGGCCCTTAAAGTCCAGACTGAGGAATGTACAATCGTAACTCTGACATGCTGTGGTTTTGATGTAGGAGCATAGATTTGGAGCCAGAAGGGACCCCACAAGTCCAATGCCTTCATTTTACAATGAAAGAAACTGAAGCCCAGGAAGGTTGGGACTCAGCCAAGGGCACACATCTGACATGCATCAGAAGCAGATTTTGAACCCAAGTCTTCAGACTCCAGAGCCAGTAGACTGACTCTCCATTGCATCATGTTGTCCCCTTGAAGCAGACCAGCCTCAGAGGAGTTATAATAACAGTGTTAAAGATACTCTATTTTGCCTCTCCTCAAAAGGTCCTATAGCAGGGATTCTTAACATCGTGTGTGTGTGTGTGTGTGTGTGTGTGTGTGAGAAGTCTATGGACCTCTTCTTGGAATAATGTTTTTAAGTGCATAAAATAAAATACATAAAATTAAAAAGGAAATCAATTATATTGAAATATATTTTGTTGTTGTTATTCAGTTATTTCAGTCATGTCCAATTCTCCGTGACTCCATTTGGGATTTTCTTGGCAAAGATACTGGAGTGGTTTGCTATTTCCTTCTCCAGCTCATTTTACAGATGAAGAAACTGAGGCAAATAGGGTTAAGTGGCTTGCTCAGAGTCACACAACTAGTAAGTGTCTGAGGTCAGATCTGAATTTAGGAAAAGGAGTCTTTCTTACTCCAGGCCTGGTACTCTATCCTCTCTGCCACATAGCTATGAAATATAATTATCAAAATATTTTTTAAAAAAACAAATTCAGAGACCCTCCTGAAATCTACTGATGGACCCCTTGGGGGTCTGTGGGCTGCAGGTTAAGAGCCCTGCTCTATAGGCAGATTGAATAGTAACAAGAAACAACTGAAAGGCTTTGATCAAATGGGTGACGGGATCACATAAGATCACATTGGCATCTCCATGTATAAGAGGTCAAAAGTGGAGCTGGGGGGCAGCTAGGTAGCACAGTGAGTAGAGCTCCAGCCTTGGAGCCAGGAGGACCTGAGTTCAAATCTGGCCTCAGACACTTGACACTTACTAACTATGTGACCCTGGGCAAGTCACTTAACCCCATTGGCTAGCAAAAAGAAAAAAAAGTGGAGCTGGAAAGCTTCTGCACCAAACTAGTGTCAACGAGAAGGGAACAGAGGGCTTGGGGGGCAGAATCAATGCCAAGGTAGAATCATAAAGCTTGGAAAAAGATCAGTGGATGAAGGGTGAAGGAGAAAGGAGAACCATAAGTAAACTTGTTTTAACTGTGTACCATACAAACGCAAGTTATTCTATCATTATTATCATTATTTAATTTTCAATGATTAATCCTTTGAAATAGAGATCAGAAAGTAGCAGCATCAGAGTTACAGGGCAGCAGACAGTCTATGCCCCTAGAAGGTGAGAGGACCCTTTCTCCCTCTAATTAACTCTGAAGACTCTTTAGTTTCCCAAAAACAGGGCTTCCTTTTTAGCCTTAGATCTCGATGAGATCTCCTCTAGGGGAGGATGACTGTCCCCTACCTGAAATCACAGCTCCTGGTGAGACGGAGGAGGCTGACACCCTCTCTCTCCTTCTCCCTCAAAAGGAAGAGTGAGCTAAGTCTCAGAGATAGAAAAAGTCAAGGCAGCTAGGTGGCCCAGTGGGTAGAGTACTGGATTCAGAGTCAGGAAGATTTGAGTTCAAATCTGGCCTCCGATGCTTACCAGCTGTGTGACCTTGGGCAAATTACTTAACCTGTTTGCCTCAGTTTCCGCCTTTATAAAATGAAAATAATCAAAAATTTCCTCAACTGTAAAATTGGGGTAACAATAGAACCTACCTCTCAGGGTTGTTGTGAGGCTCAATTGAGATAATATTTGAGAAGCAGTTAGAGCACATGGCACATAGCGGGCACAATAAATATGTTAGCAATTATGTGAAGTCATCTGTAAACTCACGTCCAATGCATCTGTAACTGTCTGAAGTTAGCCATTCAGACCACAGTAAGGATTACATAAGAAGTAGGTAGGAAGCCCTCCTCAGAGCTCTCCCCAATCCAATTCCTGCACAAGCTTAATTTTAGAAAATAACCCAGGGACTCTTGTATCTTCCTGGAGGGCATTTTGGAAAGAGAAAAGGTAGTAGATCTGTACTTTGTAATTATAATCCCTCTAATATTGTCCACAACTCAGCATGGTACACTAGAAATAACATTGGTTCCAGAGTTGCAACATTTGGACTTCAATTTTGTCCTTGGTGCATATGATGTCTGTGATGTTGAGTGAGTCATTTAATCAGGTAACATCAATGGATAGTGTTATTAATACATTGCTATGTAAAAATATATTATATGTAATAACATAGTAATGGATAATGTTCATAGAACAGGAACGTATTTCATTCTGATCCAGTTTTCTGTTAGGATTGACATGATTCACACGATTTAATAGGAGAGACTGTCTTCTTATATACATTCTCATCCCTCTCAGGTCTAGAACCAATAAAATTCTATTCAGGTACTTTCTATTTTCTAAGCCTTCTTTTGCTGACATTAGCATTTTGAGAGATTCAAATGCCAGGATCAGCAAAGCTTCTTCCAAAGCTTCAGCCATGGGAAATCTGAACTGGGAAGATTGCTTCCCTATGGATTATTCTTTCAGGGGATTAGCTACTCAAATCAAAGAGGAAAGTATCTAGTCCAATTTATTTATCATCACAATCTAATAATATTAAACTACAGCCTCTGGGAGAAGCTAGGGGAAATTTCATTTGCTTTCCTCCTCCTGGGCTGGCTGACATTTAAAAGCTAATGAAGCAGGATGAGAAAGACGCTCAAAGGCAGGGCCTGGAACTCTGATGGCTTCCTCACTTTTGCCTAACAGAACCTCACAGTGATGGAACCCATGAAACAATGGTGTTATATACAGTCCTATCTCCAAACCCTATGCCCAAGTTGGGTGTTAAGACAGAATGAGGTGCTCTGGGTTGGGGTAGGAGGATAGAATACGGTAAATCAGCATAGAGAAGTTTGGGGGGTGGTTTGCATGTACTTAAAAGAAGCACCTAAGAGACTGGATTGGATGGAAGGAAAACATGATGGGGCACTGGGCACACTGACCGTAAATCTGCTGAGCGTTCAAACCAAGCACTTCCTCTTCTTTCAGACCTTTTTTTAGTTACTCTGGCTGGGTTCCTAATTACCATCAGAGCAGAAGAGGAAGGAAACAAGTACTAATCTACATGGGTGGACGTGTCCTTTTAGATCAGATTGGTTTTTGCCTACATTTTAATATTTTCTTTTCCTCTTATTCCTTTTGAGTTGCATGCAAATTTAATTAACTGACAAGTCCCACATTTCTGAATTTGGTGGCATAGAGCCAGAATACATGCAGAGCACTTGGAACTTCAGCGTTTCTTAAATGCTATCTGATTTTTAATTAAACAGAACCTGTTCCATTGTTTTGTCTCCTTTCCTGGCCACTGCTTCCTCTCAAATCTGATTT